CAAGCAGCTATGGACGGGCAGCACACACAGCACGGACACACTGTGATACTTCATCACACGCACAAGTTAAAACCTATGCATTGTTCATTTCTGCACATGTCCAGTTAATAATCTTCAACCACAGCTAAAATAAAGGCAAGTGCAACTGGATGGGTGAGGACTGCTACACACACACATGAAGAGCACACATACATAATGCATGCATTTGAGAGGTGTTTTGAAGACAGAATCATCTGGAGATGACCTGGTTCCGTCACCGAGAGGAAGGACAGGTTTAGGGACTCGGGAGCTCTCACTGTGGAATGCTGAGTCTGGGTCCCTGGGTCCCACCAAGTGGATTTGTCCAGGAGGCAGTTACCCAAACCGGCCTGAAGTTTGGGAACAAGGCCACACTGGAGGCAGAAATTTGTGATCATTAACAAATTGCAGTAATTACCATCAGCAGCTGACAGGTGCTCTGCGGAGAGCGCAAGATAGTCCAGGACTCGGCACTAAACAATCCCGGCATTCATTCATTCTGACTCCTCCCGTGCTAGGCCTGTGTCAGGTCTGGGTACCGTGATCAATAAGGCCCAGGCTGGGCTCTAAACTCGCATTAATGGAGGAGCTGGAGTTGATCCAAGCTTTGTGGGAACGGACGCTCATTAGGCAAAAGAATATAAAAGCATCGCTACAAAATTAGATGCAAGTCTTGGAAGGGAGATGTGTTGGGGAGAGAGAGGCCCTGAAGCTTAAGCTTCATCAGCACCACAGTAAATCCTCCTCAGTGGCAAAGACAGAGTGGGAAAACCAATAGTTGCAAGACCCTGTGGAAGGCGAGTATGTAGGGGGTTCAGCCCTGCTGAGAGTGGACAGCTCAGCACACCCAAGTAGGGGAAGGCTTCCTGGAGGAGGTGCTGCTTAGCCAAATCTGGGAAGACACGCAGGAGTTCATTGGTTGAGGAAGGGGTCAAGGGTCTTGCCAGTGCAAGCAGAGGCCAGCAGAAGGAGACTGAGGCGAGACTACAGCTGGCCAGTTTGGTGGCTATCAGCTACATATAGCTTGAATCCTTGAATGGAGCCAGTTCAGTCTGAGATGTGCTGTCAGTAAAAAACAGACGCCAGGTTTCAAAGGCTTAGTATGAAAAAAGGTTGTAAAGCACCTCAATGTTTTTACACTAATTTCATACTGAAATGTATTTGTGACAGGCATCTTCACAAAATACCTTCTTGCCAGAACGTCAGCCACACCCAAATGTGGACAGGCCTTCACACCCGTTTCCCTGCAGTGTCAATACTTTGGAAGAGTCAGTAGGGAAGTATAGATCAGTTCCCTACTTATGCTTGGGAAAAGAAATGGAACTTAGTAAAAACAAACAACACACACGTGTGCGCGCGTGCACATACACACACACACATACACACACATAAAACTAAGACATGAAAATCTCAGACCAAAAAATGAAAAACCCCTCTCAGTGGAGATTAGGTGACTGGGAGGGGTCTGCCACTCCCTTTGTGAGTGTGGACGGGTCAAGGGACCTTTTTGCTGCTGTTTCCTCATCTATCACGATAGCCTTGCCTGGTTCATGGGGCTGCTAGGAAAGACTTCCAAAACTAGGTTAGCCAGGTACAGTGAGCCCAGAGAGAGAAGGATTTTAGTTTAAATGAATCTGAACAGCAGAGAGACCGTTAGGGCTGTGTACTTCGGGCAAAGATCAGCTGTCTTGCCCTGCTTCCTCCCTGGGGACAGATCCAAGCAGCCCCCTCGGGCAGCCTGGGCTCCGCACTTCTCCGTCTCTAAAGAGAACTCAGTGGGAGAGGATTGGCTGGGACAATGGGGGTGAGGTGGGTAGTCTCCTATGTCCCAGTAGACTTACAGGTGTGTCATGAAAGCTTTAAGGAGCACGTTAAAGCGAACAGCGCCCCCTGCAGATTAGTTGGGCATTTCTGCTCTGCTTTGGATGTATGTCCTCTCATGCATTCAGTGGTGTGTATTCAGGCCCTTAAACCTTCCCCACCCTTCAAAACTACTCAGGTTCTACCTCTACCTGAAGCCTCCCTGGCCCAGATCAGCACAATGCCTTTGTCTTCGCCCATCATCTCATGAACCACATTCTGCTTTGTCTTGCATCTGTGCTATGTTTGTCTCCGTTACCTTCTGGACAGGGAAGCCATGTCCTAAACATCTTTTATTCCTAAGCCACCAGCATAGCACTGCATAAACAGCAGGTTCTCAATGCTTATAACAAGAACTGAGCCAGGCGTGGTGACATGTGCCTGTAATTCCAACACTTGGGAGGCTGAGGCAGGAGGACTGCAGTGAGTTCAAGGCCAGACTGAACGGCATAGTGAGATCCTGTTTCAAAAATAAAAAAAAAAAAAGAAAAAAGAACTGAACGATTTGGGTGGTGGGGGGATGGCCAGGAATCACACACTATTTTTTATGTTTTCTTGGATGAACAGAGAACAGAGAAGAGAAAATTCACTTGTGGTTCGGCAGTGGAGGTTGGCACAGGGAGGGAAGCACTGGGGAGGTAAAAACAATACTGTAGCAACACGAGTGACCGGGCTGCCTACACACAGTACCAGAGGGCACTTGGAAGCAGCTATGCAATCCCCTCACATTTACCGAGCACCTACTGTATACAACACACTATGCCACAGGCCAGGGGAATAGAGAGGACAGCATAGGTTTACTATGCTAGGTAGACAATGCATTGTGGGAAAAGTTAACAATGACTTAAAAAAAAAAAGCTCAAATGGTATCGCAAGGCTGTGACTGCGAAGTGACAAGAGGTGGTGCAGCCGGCGAGCACTGTGGGCTTTCTGCCACTTCCTCTGTATCAGCTCTCCTGCTTCCGGCTGGCGGCCCCACAGCGTCCACGGACACTTGCACTTGTGTGACCACACAGCTAGGTGTCAGCCTCACAGAACGCGCTCTCTGTTCTGTGCAGCTGTGGAGGAGCGAGGTGGAGGGGGGTGTGTGTGGCAAAGGGGGCTCTGGGAACGTTCTAGACAGGAATTCATCCTGAATCTTCTGGGGAAAAAATGGGTAAGATTTCCATAAGCAGAGAGGAATGGAGAAGGCATTTTAGGCAGGGAAAAGGGCATGAACAGGAGGAGGAGCTGGAACAGATTAAGTGCATTTGGAGAACAGTTAATCTATTCAGTCACTTAATAAGCATTTATTGAACTACTGCTATGTTTGTTAATACACAAATAAATTAGAGGAAAAGAACAAGTATCTAACAAAAGAGTATCATAGTAGCTAGGTGCGGTGGTACACACCCATAATCCTAGTACTCGGGAGGCTGGGGAAGGAGGATTTTGAATTCAAGTCCAGCCTAGGTTATGTAGTGAGACAGTGTCTCCAAAAGTAAACCAAGGAAACAACAAAAACCCCTAGCAATGAGCATCACCCTTAGCATCCCAGAGTGAGGTGATCGAGTAGAGACTGGTAGGAGTGGAAAGGGAAAGTGTGTGGCTGACAGGGCAGGAGCACCCGCAGTGTGCAAGGGCAGTGGAAGGACGGTGCATCTGAAGGCCTCGGACACGTCAAACCATTTTCCGAGGCCGGCCATCCCTGGGTGGGTTTCTGCGTTCCCTTGAGGTTTCCCTAGGCTAGTGGGGAACAGGGACAGAGGGTGAGGATTTCTGTGTGACAGTTCCTGACTCCTGTCTCTGGTTCCCACTGTCCTTGTTTGCAGCCGGGCGATGAGGCCGTTGCAGCAGATGAGCACCAGGACCAAAAGAAGCTGAAGGTGGGTGCTGTGCAGAGTCTGCCAGTGGGGACATCGCAGGGTCTCTGTGTAGCCACAGACCAGGGCACTGTGCAGCCTGGCTGGGCTCAGGCCTAGGAAGCTCCTGTGCTGCCAGGAGCTGTCACCTCTCCTCAGGTGGCCTTCCAGGAGTTCTAATTTGGGAGCCGCATCTTCAATGTTACAGCTGGCTGTTACTAGCCTGCGATGTGGCCTTGGGCCTCAGGTTCTGCATCTGTAAAAGGACTCTTTGGCCTAAATGAACCCAAGTCCTAGTTTCCAGCCCCAGTTTTGCATGACTGTTTGATATAAAAGCTTCATGACTTGTGGTTTTAGACAGCCCTGAAACTAAGGCAAAAATATGAGGGGTGCTGGAGGGAGGAGGAGGGGCTGAGATTTCTAAAACGCAACTCTCACTGCCTTTGGCCTATGGGGTACGGGGAAAGAACTGTGGGGACTTTGAAAGGAGCAGCCTTGTTCTACAATCTCCCTCGCCTAAAGAAAATCTCCAGTCCTGTTGCAAGACGTGACCACAGCCACTAGATGGCAGAGGGGTTCAGACAGAGAGGTCGGGGAGAACCCTGCGCAGGTGCCAACGGCTGTCTGGGGATGCTGCGTTGTAAATCAGACGGCATTTCGCTGTGTGTCACTGTGAGTGCGTGCGTGCCCCATCTGTGTACAGTAAGGATGTGCGGGTGCCCGTGAAGGTCTCTGAGCAGGAGGTAGAAAGTAGAGCGGGGCTGGCAGTCACCAGCCCTGGGGGCCCGTCTGACTTTCATTTACTCCCGGCATGACCTTGGATTCGCCTCTTAGCTTCTTGGAATTTTCTTTGCTTTTCTGTAGATGGGGATCCCAGCCTTGCTTCTCCTGGAGGGGAGGCAGTGATAAATCATGGTGCTCTGTGGGCCGAAGAGGGCTGTGCCTGTGTGCAGAGGGTCTGTCTGTGGGGTGTAGGTCAGAGGGTGTTTCTAGGAGGGTGCACTTGCAGGGGTTCAAGCCCTGGGGAATGCGCTATTCTTAATATGCGTGGTCTGCTTTCACTAAGCCCTTGGGGTTTGGGCAGGACACAGAGTGAGCGGGGCCTGGAGGAGCGAAGTGGTCGCTGGCGGGGAAAGCAGCGTGGGCGAAGGAAGCGGGTAGCCAGAATAAGGGCTGATCCCTGACCCCTGCAGGAAGGAAGCAGGCGGTGAGGCCCTTGTGTGGCTCCTCCCCGGTTGGGCAGGGGCCCACTGAGGCCTGTGCGGCTCTCCCCTTGCTCAGCTCCCGTTCGCGCTGTCCCGAGGGAGCAGCTCCGCCTCGCTGCACAACAGCACCATCCGTACCACCATCTACCAGCTCATGCTCCACAGCCTGGACCCCCTGGGGGAAGGTAAGCAAGGCCGCCCACACCTGCGGGTCTGCCCTCCTGCAGTTGCAGAAGCGCTGGGACCTGCAGGGGTGAGAGGCCGCGGGCTCAGGGTGGGAAGAGAAGAGCCGGCAGGGAATAGAGTGGGAGGTAAGTGTCAGACAGCCTGGGAGACAGGGAAGCGACAGGGTAGGGAACTCACCGCGAGGGCCACGTGGAACATGGATGCGAAAGTCCTCAGGTTCCCGTGTCGTATTACTTCCCTGCCTCAGCACGCCTCCCTGTGAAATGAAGGGGTTCACCTGAAGGTAGGCCACGAGCACCAAGTGCCCTGCCCGGGTCTGTGCTGGGCCAGCCCTGTGTTCCCCGAGTGTCTCCAGCCAGGTGGCTTAGTCCAGGCTGCCCAGCCAGATGCTTCCAGGGACCCTTCCTCTAGGACCTGGAGCTCGGTGTGGCTCCGCCCTCTGCTCTGTAGTCAGTGCAAGAAGCTTGCTCACCTCACACCCAGCCGGGAATCCTGAGGGCCACCCTGGAAGCTGCCAGGGACACCTGTGAGGCTGGGGAGGTAAGACTGCATCCAAAGAGCAGTGCGTACCAACTCCAAACTTGCCAAACGACAGCAGTAGCAGAGTCTCATCACCTACCTTGCAAGCACTGCCTCTGTCTCCTTCTCCAGAGCTGCCCAGCGTGCTCCTCAGGCTCTTGTGGTACCTCATGGGGCCAGTCCTGCTCTCCTCAGCCCCGTTTTCTGGGCCCAAGGAGGAAGCCATCAGAGAAAGGCTGGCCCCTTGGGAACGGCCATAGGCTGTGTGCAGTGGGCAGGAGAGCTGAGGGCTGAGCCGAAAATGACAGGGTAGAAAGAGCCCCGGAGCCTGTGGGCACCTGACTTACCTTCCTAGTTCAGGAACACACTTTAGAGGCTCAGAATTTTCATCAGACACACACTGGGTGTCAGGTTTGTTTAAGCCAAGTATAATGTCCTGTGACAAGCAGCACCAGAGACGAGGCGATGAAACGCTCCTGAGAACCCCCAGGAGACAGAGGTCACCCTCAAGTATCAGCTCTGGAGAAACAGGCCCTGGGGCTCCGGAGCTGAATGTGCAGCACCAGCAGCCTCCGGGTGGTGAGTGCTGGGGTGCCTTGCCTGGCCACTGAAGGAAGCTGTGTTTTTGGGCCATGCTTGGCCACTCCCGGAGGAAACACTGAAGATAAAGATTCAGACGGGAGCGGGGCTCCCTGCCTGGCCACTGCCAGACCAAGTTGCTTGCTGGCCTACTTGTCCTAACGGGATTATGTGATGTCCAGGCCAGGCCGAGGACAGAGGAGATTGATGCTAAGGAGATGATCCGGCCGCAGGGAGGGAGAGGGCATGTGAGGAGAAGGCGCTTTGGGACCTGCCACAGTCACCCAGGGAGACCAGCGTGCTTGGTGTGCAATGCTGCTCAGAGAGACGCACCTGACTCTGCACCCTGAGACTCTCTGTCCAGGAGGGGCTGGGGCCTCCCAGGGCCTTCTTCCCTGACTCTCCAGACACGTGTTTGTGTGTCACAAGCTATTTCCAGATGGCCATCCAGATGTTTCCAGGGATCTGCCACAGGACGGATCATGGAAGAGACAATTTCTGTGGCCTGGACCCTCACCTCCCACGAAGGGCTTTTCCTGCCCAGGACTCTGCCTCTCTAGGCGGTTTCCCTCAGATGCGTGCGGGAGACCTGCAGCCCGCCTGCTCCCCTCGGGGGTGGGGGAGTGGGAGGTGAGGGCTTGTGACGAAGGACGCAAGAGAACTTCGTTCTCACCGGTCCCTCCGGCCAAGTCAGCTCAACACACGTTCTCGGCACCTGGACAGGAACTGAGGCACCTCCTACGTGACAGCTACGCTCTGCTCAATGAAGCCCGCAGGGCTTGATCACTGCCGGGGGCGGGGGGCACGGGATGTCTGGATGAGGGAGCCAGTGACACGCCAACCTCCTGACATCTTGGTTCGCAGGAGGACCTGTGGGACCCCTGGACACTGAGGGAGCCCAAGGACCACAGCAGTGGCTCTGCAGATGCAGCTGTGGCTGTACCAACTTGGACAGCTTAGGAAACAGGAGAGGAGGAAATTCCAGAGATGCTTATCTATTTCCTGCCCACCTAAGAAGAGTTGGCAGAAGCGTTGGCCCACCCAGCTTCTTGCCCTGTACTGCCTCAGTCTCCTCACTGGTGTCTGCATCAGGAACTAGATCTCTCCAGGGTGCCTTAGAACTCAGACCTTCTGGAACACTGGATCTTGTCAATGAGAGTTGTTTCCTGGGTGGGAAAGCGGCTTTCAGCGACTTTATTAATTATCACTGCTGTGATCCTAGAGGTTATAGCCCCCCACCTTACATAGTGGTTTCTAGGGCCAGGAACTGTTTCAAACACATTTACACATGGTGTGACTAACTCTGTTGACAGCTCTGGAAGATTTTTACAGATGAAGAGTCTCAGGTCTAGAGAGGTTAAGGAGTCACCCAGCCAGGTCCATAGCTATAGTACAAGTGACAGAGCTAGGAGCCACACTCCTGGCATCAGGCTGACCAGGCTGGGAATCCATGCTAAGAAAATATGTCTGAGGCCAGCACTTTGCAGTCATGTTCTCCCGCTGCCTTTTATCAGCATGGACACCTCCAGCCTGGGGTCAAGAGCACATGGCAGGCACTTATCGTCCTCCCACTTGTGCCGTTGTCCTCCCCTTCTTCCATCTCCAGGCTACGCGCTGGGAGGTGCACTCACGCACAGCTGTCTGTCCATCTCTGTCCCTCTTTCCTCTCCCACCTCGAAAGGATCTGTGTAAAGTGCCTCACACATGCCCTGGAACACAGTCACCTTGGAGGGAAGTTGCCACCCGTTTCCCTTGCTCTGAAGTCAAGGCCATGCCACTGAGTGTGTGCTGTCCTGGGCCTCCAGCAAAGCTGGTATACCAGAATCTGGGAGGTCTTCTCTAGCTCCTGGTGTCTGGGGTCAAGTGCTTGTTGGTCAACTGGAGAGCAATGGCTTATGAACATGGCCACCAGCTGTCCCCCTGGGAGAGCATGCCTGGGACAGTGCTGATTTCTAGACAGTGAAAAGAAGTTGCAGTCTAGCTCAAGGGTGGCAGAAGTATGTCTCCCGGCCTTCGTGGCTCCATTCTCTGTGTGTCACCAAAGTTACCCCGGTGTATTCTTCTACCGGGCTTGGACGAAAACCCTTCTCAATTTAGCACTCACACAGACATCAGCTGAGCTCATATAGGAAATAAATCTTAGTTGTTCCTCAGTCCAAACATATCCTTTTACCAGAAAGGAAACAGGTCTTCACAGGGGAAGTGCCTGGTTCAGGCTCAGGGCCGTGAAGGACAGCATAAGAATTTAAGACAGAAGTGGATGGGTTGGGCATCATAAATAGGCCTAGCTGGATCCTAATCCAGACATCGAACTCGCATGCCGGCCTTGCCCACTCAGCTGCGCTGCTCAGCTGACTGTCCTGTCACACAGCGGGGACGGCGCACAGCAGGGACAGGACAGTGGTCGTAGATGTGTTTCCTTTCTCGTTTGCAGCCCGATCCTCCAAGGACAAGGAGAGTTTGACTCAAGAGGCCAGAGCCCAACCCCAGGTCAAGGCAGAGAGCAAAGCAGAAGGTGAGAGGATGGCCAGACCAGTGGGTTTTCTCCTGCCACCTCCCACCTCCCGTCACGGCCAGCCCAGACCAGGGACGTAGGCTCGTGGCTTGGCCTTTCTGAGCCAGTCAGTCCGGGTGAGACAATGAGCCTGCCCTGCCGCCTCCTCCTAGTGAGCGCTTTCCCGCATGGCTGCACTGAGCATGCTCCTCCAGCTTTCTCTGCGTTCGCCTTGATGGGCAGGCCAGGACCGCCAGGGCCTTGTTGAGCTCCCACCTCCTTTTTCGCTAAATCTCATTCCAAATGAGACTCTGTTGGACTATTTCTTCTTCCTGTCACTTCTCTACAAGGACAGTGTTGGTAGTGATTGGTCTGAAACCAGCAACCCCAAAGAGTAAAGGCTACCAGGGGTGTGGTGACACAGAAATCCAGTAGGAGGCTCTGAGAGGTCAAGTGACTTGCTCAAAGCCACACAGCTAAGAAGTGAGAGCCTGTCCCTAAACGTAGCCCTCCGGACTTTCCAAGTCTCCCTTTACCTCAGTCTTATTCTACGGCCCTGTAGCTGCTGCCTTTGAAATCAGCAGGATTCTTTCCAAAGGATCCATTAGACCCTGAGCACTGGGAGCTTTGCACACTCTCTGCTCCATGTGCCAGGGCCGCTCACAGCATCCTTGGCCAGAATGGCAGGATATGGAGGAGCAGGGGTGGCCTTGTCCCCTCTGCAGGTATCAGGAGACAGGGCAAGGACAACTCACATCACTATCATCTTACTCTTCTTACCAACAAGAGATTTCCCACACAGACCTCCTGAGACCCTGCTGTCCTGCAGCCACTCACCAGCTTCTGACCTAACCCATGTTTGTCCTTTAAAGAGGAGGAGCCAGCCGAGCTCCCTGCGGTCACGGTCACACCAGCCCCTGCTCCAGACGTCCAGGGAGATCAGGAGGAGGATCCTGGAGGCCAGGTAGGCGCTCAGTCTCTGCATAGGTGGAGGGATTCAAGAGGCCCAGGGAAGGACTTTCTGGCCAAAAATACTTCCTCCCCAGAGGCCTGAAATTCTATGTGAGTTTGAGCCACCCAGGGTAAGCTTTACCATTCTCTGAATCACTTGAAAAAAAAAAATAGGTGTCTCTGGGGCCAGGCAATTTACTGTGAACATCTTGTACTGTGATCTGCCACACACGGTGAGGACTCAGGAATGGTCAGTTTTCCGCAGCCAGGGCACAGTGAGACAAGCCAGCTCCAGACCCCAGGGGGCTGAGACGCAGGGGCCGCTCGCTGGGTGAGGCCTTGGCACCTTCTGGGTCCTGCTGCTCCTCATCTGCAGTCCTGATGCTCTGTCTTTGCAGCCTCCTTGTCCTCCAAGCTCTGCTCAAACTGAGTTTCTTGTCTCTGTGCTTCTCTGACCCGGGGACTTGGCCCACAAGCCTACCCCTCTTCAGACTGTCCCGTCTTGTCTCGCTCCCCAGGCCCAGCGTAAATGCCTTTCCCAGGCAGCTTCCCTGAGCACCCCAAGTCAGAAGCGTGCTTTGCATCTGTCCTGGGCCTCTTAACACTACCCCTCCATAGTCAGAGCCTCTCTTAGTTCTCCCACGAGGCGGTGAGGTTCCTGAGGCAGGATCCAAGTCTGGGTCATCTCAGTCTCTATCACAGAGGGAGATGTCAGGTTGAGTGACTGACAGTAAATAAACAGTTTGCAAGTTCCATTCTGCTTGTTTTTTTATTCAACACCCGGAAGCACAATGCCTCATTCATAACCCAGTTCTTTAGGGTTCAGCATCTAGGCCATCTTCCTGTGTCCCGAGTGTCCTGAGCAGGCCCACTGTGGCCACTCACGTGGATGGGTTCAAAGGCTATGGAATCATACGCAAGGAGTGACGCTTGGTCTCAGAAGGACGTAGGCCTGTGAGGGCCTCTGTGACCCTGGTGGCTTCTCCTTCTGTTTGCTGCCCTGCCTCAAGACCTTCTCTGTGAGCAGGCTCGCACCTTGGTTCTCTTGGCAGCCTGGCTTTCTTTGAGCCCCTTATCGGTACACAACGCTAAACTGTTGCCCCGTCCTCACGTTCATAGGGGACCAACCAGACTGACTGTCGGTCTTAACAGAGAATCTGTTCAATCCAAGCCACAGGCCAGGGATCCAGCTCCTACCCCGTTAGCTGTGGCCAGGGACTGGCGTGCCTGGACTCGAACATGGAAGATGGGAAACTTCTGTGTTGCTGGGGCTTTTGGAGGTGACAGTCCTCAGAGATGACAGTGCCATGTCTAGTGATTTAATGATATGTCATCTCTTCCAGAAAGTCTGTTCCTGATGGGAATGGAGGGCAAGAATGACTGCAGACTAAAATCCTCTCCCTCTCCATCTGCAAGTCTAGGCAGAGGCATTGGAGGATAGTAATAATGGCTTCTCCAGGTGTTCTCAGGGCTGGCTGCATATTAGAAATAATGCGCGGAAGCTTAAAAAATTGCTCAGGCCCCATCCTCAACCAATGAAGTCAGAGTATCTGGGGTTGGTCCTGGGGCATCAGTGGTTTTAAAAGATTTCATGTGCTTTTAATAAGCAGCAGAATACAGACTCACTAAACATCCTTTGGGGGCGTTGCCAGACTGTGACGATTGCTACAGATGTCATATTTATATTTGCTTCACGAGCACACAGCCCAAGGTAACTGCTCAAGGGCCTGCACTGGCATAGTATAGGTTAGCTGGGACAGTATTCTGAGGCCCCTTACGGTCAGTGACTTTTAGTGCGGACAGTCCGTGGTTCCTGGGCAGTGGTCTGCAGTGAGAGCACTGGAGCATGCAGGACGCATTAGCTCACCAGCGTCCAGTCTCGGAGAGCCTATTTCAGGTTGTACACGAAGACCAGGAAATTTACATTTCTCATAAGCTCCCCTAGCTACCAGGTTTGGGAGACAAAGGTCTCACTCAGTCCTGGCCTTTGTAAAGCAGGGTGTCTTGGTGGTGAAGAGTAAACAATGGGCCTCTGCCTTTTCAAATCCCAACCCTGTCACCTGCAAACTCTGCAGGCCATGGGCAAATTCTTCAGCTTCTGTTTACTCTAATTTCTCCATCTGTTACATGAGTGTCATTCTATCTGTATTATGAATTAACTGACTCAAGAAATGTGATAAATGGTTATTACTAAGAAGCTATTTATCATGGTGCCTGGCACATAAATACGTGCAGTAAACAGTATGTTCACTTGACACATGTAAGGTCATACTGTATTTAATGATGTAGGAGTTTTAGTGGCCTCAGCAGGGTGTTGTGACTACCAAAGGCTATCAAGCCATGTCAGGCAACAATCGTGGAGGCCTAATATCTAAAACAAGGGAGCTGATGGCCTGGTTCCACTCCGTGCATGCTCTGTGTTCAGCTGGGATGTCCTCTTGAGGGGTGGAGAATGAGTGGAGGGGTCTCTAGGTCACAGCATGGAGAGACAGAAGGCCTGGGGATCTTTAACCCAGGCAAGACAGCTGCCCTGTGGAGGGGTAATGAGCCTTGTTCTGATAGAAGCTTGATATAAATATCAAACCAAGCAGAGCTGTCAAAGATGGCACGAACTGCTTTAGGTGGCAGGTTCTCCATCACTGGAAATGACCAAGTAAACGCTCGGCAACCACAGGGTAGGACCGTTGTAGGGATTTTGTTAAATAACTGCACTAGTTTTCTCCTTCAAGTGTTCAGGTATAGGCTGAGAATAACCAAAAAGCGTGTGTGCGCGCGTGTAGAAAGCTCGGAAGGGAAACACGCAAGTTAACCTGTTGGCTCTGGATTGCAGGAAGACATGGCTGGAACCGAGAAGGGAGGTGAGACGCCAGGCCAAGAGGGCGAAGTTGAGGAGAAAAGTGGAGGGGAAGCTCATCCAGAAGGGGAAGGAGAAATGGCAGCAGAAGGAAAAGATGACCATGAAGACAAAACTAAGCCAGAAGGAGAAAACCGTGAAGGTGAAACTGAGGCAGAAGAAAAAGAAGAGCAGGGACATGAAAATGAAATCCAAACAGAAGATGCTGAACTGCAAGGGGAAGGTGAAGCTGAAGTCCCAGAAGTCAAAGCTGAAAATCAAGAAGTCGAAAATGAGAAAGATGCAGATGGTGACGGCGGCAGTGACGGAGGAGACACCGAAGAGGATGATGAAGATGATGAGGACGAGGAGGACGAGGAGGATGAGGAGGATGAGGATGAGGATGAGGACGATGAGGAGGAAAATGAGGAGCCTCTGTCCCTGGACTGGCCAGAGACCAGGCAGAAGCAGGCCATTTACCTCTTCCTCCTGCCCATTGTATTCCCGCTGTGGCTCACGGTGCCCGACGTCCGGAGGCAGGTGAGCGCCCCCAGCCACTCTCTGGCTGTCTCCAGGAGGCTGCAGGGCCTTGAGGTAGCCAGGGGTCACAGCTCGAGAGGAAGCAGGTGGGAAAAGCAGCACAGCAGGGCTCTACTCCTGTGAGGAAGTGGAATGGGACTGGGGCTCTGGAGGGGCCCGTGCGCCTGGGGACCTCCACGGGGATTGGGAGCCTTAGACCATACTTGTGCCCTAGGTCCCCCATGATAAGCAGCATGGACTAGTCACACCTTGATTCGCATTTGGGAATCATGCCACTGTACCATCTCTGCATTTCATGGGGGTGTTCTGAGAACTGGGGGTGATAGCTGCTATTTCTAGCCAACATTTTTATCTGAAGGGAAAGGTGTGACTAACGCCTTCCACTCAGAGGTGGCTCCTGCTCTGTCTCTGGGGCTGGGGTGGCGGGGTTTGCAAAAGCCCAACTGAATGCCTAGACGGGCCCGCTGCTGGGCCAGCAAACAGTGTGCTTCAGTCTGGCAGCTGCTGAGCTTCCCAGCCTCCTGCCCCCAGTCCTTCTCCATCCATCATAAGGCCCTCCCGGGAGAGGACATTTCCAGATCGTTCCCTGGGCACTCATTCTCCAGTGCCCATCGAAGGCCCAAAGGCCCTCAGCTTCTACAACTTCTTTCTCTTCCTTTCCCAACTTCCCCACAGGAGTCTAGGAAGTTTTTTGTGATCACCTTCCTAGGATCCATCATTTGGATAGCCATGTTCTCATACCTCATGGTGTGGTGGGCTCACCAGGTGAGTGGACAGCAGGAAGTCACTCCTGCACCTGCAGGTCATGGGAACACCTTTGCCCTTCAGATCAATCTCCAGCACTTAGGGACTATCGAACATCAAGTGGATATGTGCAGGCTCTACTTTACTTATAAAAGCTTAGGAAATAAATTTTTTTTGTTCCAGTGAGTGCTCCTCAGGGTGGCTTTCCTTAGATGGCATTCCCACCACAGCATGACAGGGAACCCCGAGTGTCTTCCCTGCTGCTTTGTCCTCTTATGCCTTTCCCTGCTTTCTCCCCACGCTCTGACAGTCAGCTCAGCTTTGAGCACTCTCTAGCATTTCACCTTCTGGCATGCATGGCTTTTGTGTGGACTGCATGTAGCAGAACTGTAACTGTTTGCCAGCCTTTTCACCTGAGTAGGGTCTGTGTGGCACTGGTCACAGTTTATCAGCTTCTACCTTAGTTCCAGGACGCCACAGAGGTCCACATTTCTGAAATGCAAATGCCAACTTGAGTGTATCTTTGGAAAGGCAGTTCTCGGGGGAACCGTTGGGATGACAGTGAGGGGCAGATCTGGTCTCAAGCTTTTAGTCCAGTTTAGAGATGAGCAGCATGGGTTCCCCGCAGCCTGGGGCAGGAGCTTCACTTTTTCCCTGTGGCCATTTCTGGCTCTCGCTCAGGCAGTGTGTTGGGCTCCTAGAAAGGTGCTCTGTTAGTACAGTAGCATGTGGTTAGTTCTTCACCTGCTGTTGCCATGGTTTTTGTGACTGTTGCTGTTTTCCAGGTTGGCGAAACAATAGGGATTTCGGAAGAGATCATGGGCTTGACAATTCTAGCAGCAGGCACATCAATTCCTGACCTCATCACAAGCGTGATCGTTGCTCGGAAAGGTCTGGGAGACATGGCTGTGTCAAGCTCAGTGGGCAGTAACATATTCGACATCACCGTGGGGTGAGTGGCAGCACTACTTTCCAAGGCATTTTAAATACAGCTGGAGAACACTCCATTGCCTGTTTGCTGTTTTTTTTGGGGGGGTCTTTTTAAGACAGGGTCTCGCTATGTAGTTCATGCCAGCCTTGAGCTCACTTTGTAGCCCAGGCTGGCCTCGAACTCGTAATGAATCTCCTGCCTCAGTCTCCTGAGTGCTGGGATTATAGGCGTGCGCCACCATGCCTGTCGTTTCGTTGGCTTTCTGCTTCATTCGTTATACAGGAAATAAAAGGGCATTTATGTTGTTAGCTTCTCCAAAATGACAAAGTAGCTCCCCTTCACTTATCACAGCCAGTTGGCGTAATAGAACTAACATGCTGCCTGAAGCCAGCCATGGTGGCACATGCCTGTACTCCCAGCTACTTGGGGGGTGAAGGCAGGAGGATTTTGACTTTGAGGCCAGCCTAAGCAATTTAGCAAGACCTTATCTTTAAAAAAAAGCTGTCTGAAATGTAACTGATTGAAATTTGTAGATGAATTGAAAAGTGCAGTCCATTCCATTTTCAAATACAGTCAAATACAGATGCTGAAGGCGGTGGAGGAGAGGCTGAAAGGAATCATTTCAGTCTCGATTCTCTTGCTTTTTTCACTGGCCTCCTGCTGGGTCAGCAGCTCTAAAATGCCTCTCGTACCCATCTTTTTCCCAGCCTCCTAACCTTGCCAGAGGTTATTTTCATTTCCCCATCAAGTTCTGGACTTGGTCCTTTACTCTGAATACATGCAGGTGCGAATTAGTAGGGTGATAGTAAAAAGGCACACAAGAACCCTGGTCACTAGAGAAAAAATTAAATCCCTTAACCTGGGCTAGTCGTGTAGAAGTCATGAAGCTGCAGGGAAAACAAGGTCAGTTCAGAATCAAAGCACTCATCTACATTTCGGCTCTCTCACTGTGAGCTCTTGGACAAGTGCTTTAATTTCCTGGAACCTTAAATTTCATCATTACGAAATGCGGCTAATCATTTGTCCTCTACTTCGCAGTTTTGTGCGTGTTTGAAAAATCAGTGCCTTGTACACTGTAAAATGCTAATGAAGCACATGGCATTATGATGAACATTAAGAATATTTACACTGTGTCTTCCCTCTTGCAGCCTGCCGGTCCCTTGGCTGCTTTTCTCCCTTATCAACGCACTGCAGCCAGTTCCAGTCAGCAGCAACGGTTTGTTCTGTGCAATTGTTCTGCTCTTCCTCATGCTTCTGTTTGTCATCTTTTCAATTGCCTCGTGCAAATGGAGAATGAACAAGATCCTGGGCTTCACCATGTTCCTTCTTTACTTTGTCTTCCTGATAATCAGCGTGATGCTGGAAGATCGGATCATCTCCTGCCCTGTGTCTGTCTGAGTCACTGACTACTGCGCACAATGGACGTGGGTGGGAAGAGCGGGCCGGAAGTTACTGGACCTTTAGTTACATTAAGGATGGACAGGAGCCAGGAGAGAGCAGCAAGCAGCCCAGAGTCTCTCGTAAGCGTGTGACCTGGGCCTGCACCGTACGTATCCTGGGAAACACGTGCAGCTCTTTGTGGATTAAGGTACCTCGTGCCTGGAGGAAGATGTTCCTACCCCGACTCAGGCACACGGCTATCACACGGAGGCAGGAGGAATCCTGCAGTCAGACACGGGGAGGGGCACGACTGCACCGCAGCAATAAGACGAGCTCTGATCCAAAGCCGCAGATGGAGTGTCACTCTCACTTTCCTGGCCCTGCCCAAGCACACACTGCAGTTTGCTATGTCCTCTCTTTCTGTTCAAAGGTGAAGTTCTACCAGGTTTGCAATCACTACAGATTTGGTTATTAGACAACTAAGGCTACAGGAAAAAAAAGGACAACAGAATCAGTTATCACATTCCATCCTAGTCCAGTGAACTATACATCAATATTTTCTAGCCTAAAAGGAAGACACTAGCTTTTACTGTTGCATTTCTGGAAGGTGAAATTCACACACAAAACAAAGAGGTGAAAATGTATCACTTTCTTTTGATTTGGAAGGAAGTGGACAACAGGAAAGTACTCTAAGGGCTATTTAAAAATTTGTATGAGGGCTGGGGTTATAGCTCAGTGGCACAAGCGCCTGCCTGACAAGTGCAAGGTCCTGAGTTTGATTCTCGGTACCAAAAAAAGATTCTATGTACTAGAAATGTGTGTGTCTCCACCAGTGGTCACCTGAGGGATTACGCACTGCCGCTCCCACAGGTTCTTACCGGGCAGTGATGTGATTTTAAAGAGCTCAGTCAGGAGACTCACATCTGGTTTATAAAGTAAGTGATCCAGCAGGGCACTGAATTTCTTGTATGTCAACTTTGACCGGATTATAAGGCAGGATGACTGATTTCTTGTGTGGCTTATAAGTGGATTTTAAGGCAGTTTATAAGGGGGAAATTCCAAAAGTGGAAATGAAAAAATGAAAATTTCAAAAATGAAAAAAGTATCAGTCCAAGTTAGCTATTGTAAAAGACGTGTTCTCATAAAAATTTTTGTTTAAGCATTTTATGTGACTGGGTGTGGTGGTGCACACCTCAGCAGCCCGGAAGCTGAGGCAGGAAGATTGCCACAAGTTCAAGGCCAGCCTGGACTACACAGCGAGACACTGTCTCAAAAAAACCCAAAACCCAAAACCCAAAACCCAACCCAAAACAAAACATTTTATGTGGATTTTGATACCTTTATGTCACTGGGTTCAGAGCAAAAGGAGCTTAGGTGACCTATGATGGCAAATGTGGCTTTAATTACAAGTATGAGGAGTGACTCACTAAAGCACACGGACAGTGGGAAGGACGTGATATGAAAAGCAGTATCAATCATTTGGTGTGGGATGGCTAAGGTGTGTGAAGCACTCCATCTTTTAAGATTAACTGGTTCATTTAATTAGCTGCCTCACTGCTTCAGGATGTCTGTTCTTTGGAACTAATTTTTATTAAATTTCAATAAAAATTGTGTTCTAGTGGTATTTTACTTTGTAGACATGGGTGGGCTCATCCCTGTCTTACGTCATTTGGTCAGAATGGTGAAGCACATGAAATTTCTGTTCCTCATTCTTGCTGCTACACTGTAGTGTCTCCATATGCCAGGGCCTAAGTCAGGAGGACAGAACAATGCCGGTGGAAAAGAGACTCCAATACTAAAATTCTTGGTGCTGACCTGGGGTCTGCATTAGTTCCAGGTGGCCTTGTGGACGTCACCTCCTCATTGATAGCCTAAAATCTGATGCTGTTCAAGACTAAGTGAAGAGGGTGGAAAGTCAAATGTTCTGTAGGCCAGTGTGCTAAGGTGTCCATTTAATAATTAAAGGCAAAACTGGACATGGTGGCCCACGCCTGTAATCCTAGCCTCAGGAGGCTGACGCAGGAGGATCACCATGAATTTGAGGCCAGCCTGGGCTACACAGTGAGTTCAAGGTCAACTTGAACTACACAGCGAGACCTTGTGCCAAAAATAGTAATAATAAAAAATAATGCCAACTCTCATCATCTAATACCCTATTCCTAATCAGTGTGCTAAAATTCTAGCACTTTCCTTCCAAAGGAAGTTCTGATCACTTTACATTGTGACAGGAAAGGACAAGTACAAAAATGAAAGTGGAGTCTTGGTAGATGGGCAGGAAATTCTAGGTTGGAGGGATCTCAGGAAGACGGAAAACAACGAAAACTTCTAAAAAAAATCAAGTTCTTATGACTGGGAATGCAGTTTTTGTTACATATTTACAACTCGATAATTTACTAAAACCATACCTTTTTAGAGGTAAAGTACCATTTTAAAAATGGGAAGATAATATTGTTTGGTCCTTTTACTTGACAGGCCAAATGATCTGTAAAGTAACCTGGAGCAAATTCTTGGTCATTGATTCAGCCTAGAAAGTCCATTACCCCGTGGGTGTCTGAACTGGAAGACAGGGCTGATGGGTGTCCCCCTTGGGTTTGTCTTTCCTTGATGGCCCTGGCAACAGGCTTGTACTAGATTTCTGAAAGTATAAAAAGGGTTAAGATTCTATACAGTACCTGCAAAGAGATCTATCCCAAAGTTCTGAAAATTGGTATTTGCTTACACTGTTACTATATGTTTTGAACATTACATTGTACTGTCATCAATAGATCTGAAAATGTTATTTTTAAAAAATTGAATTAGAAGTTTTTTTTTTTTTTTAAATAACACTGCTTATACCACAGTTATCATTTAAATGAGTACCAAATGTGGGTAGGAATTACGATTTAATATTTAGGGCACAGCCTGGTAGATAAACAGATACAAACCGGTGGGCCATATATGCCAATGAACACCCTCAGTTCTGAGCCTTTTTTGTGGGAGGTCCCCCTGCAGCTGCAGCCTGCACTGTGTTCAGGGACTTGTCACTATAAAACATGCAAACACAGGGCCCATGGACAGGCCCATCCACGCCTCGGGTTACTAGAACTTGGCAGTGTCCCCTGGCATCAATCTCTTGCACAACCAAAGGTACATTTCTGGTGTTCAGGTCCCTTCATGTGATGAGCAAATGAAATCTGGAGAACTTCAATTATACAAAAGTCCATCAGTTAGTTACCCTGTGGTTATCACAGTACTAAATTTGAAAAGAAAATCTTTAAGTGCAAAGAATGGAGCCATACAAAGAAACGGCAATTGTGGAAAAGGAGCAGTAACTTTTTCAGAAGAGTCTGTAACCACCTCAGAATATAAACACATGTATACAGACTTTTGTAATCAGAGAGAAGAACTCCTATACTGATCTGTGCACTGCTGCTATTATAAACAAACACAATTCCTCTAGCAAATGTGTTTTTGTTGAGGTGAGGACGAAGGTACAGTAACGTGAAAGGGTGATAAGACACTAAGTACTGAAAGAATTACGGTAAACTGGCTTGCAGCTGCTGGATTTAAACTCTGAAATAAAGCTTAGTGCTGTTCCTAAACAGGAAGGGGCAGAGCATGCTCACTCTAGCACAAAGGCCAAGGGTCCTCTCAGAGAGGCCGCCTGCTCTCTCCCCTCTTGTTCTGAGACTGAAGTGCCTAACTGCAACTTTTTATGTGTTAGTGGAAGAAATAACAATAAAGCTGGGCTACTGCACATTACCCAGCAAGTATTTCCTTTCTGTATACTACAAAGTGTTTAAAAATACAGCGTAACTTCTATAAAGAGCTAGTTCCATTAAAATATAGTAGTAATTATCAGCATTAAATAAAAATAAGTATTTATTGTCTAAAATGTTGAGCCAACATTTTCCAGGGCCATTTCTCTACATACAAAAATGGGGAGACATTTTAGAAAACCTTAAAACAAGCCTGTAGTTTTAGGTTTTTAAAGGAAAAACAAAAACCCACTTCAAAAGAATCAGAAAAAAAGACCAAATGAGGAGATGAACAGGTGCATAACTCCCTATGCTGGCAATAGGAGGAAAAAGTTGAACTCTGAAATACGATATAAAATACTAAAGAGTGACATTCAGGCATAGGGAGAGGAAGAAGTAAACAAATATTACCAGTACAGAGCATGATTTATTTTTAACAATTTAAACATATAAGCAAAACTAAGAATAAGAAAAAAGAGATAACACAGTAAAAAGGCGTCTCTCTCAAACATCAGTGGCCATGATTCTTCAAAATGTATGGTCAACAGAGAGAAAATTGAGATGTTTGTAGAGTGTTTTAAAAGGATGATCCCTGTTGTAATTCCCTTTGGAGCAGGGTTTATCATTTCCTACTCATGTCTTAGGTTTTATTTTTGTTTGTTTGTTTGTTTGTCTTTTGCCGTGCTGGGGACTGAACCAGCTCTCGCTAGGTAAGTGCCTATCACTGGGCCCCGTCTCCAGACCTAGGTTTTATTTTTAAAGACTTTCTGTAGTAATATTCCTGGGGATGAAAGATGATGGAAACAAAACTCTACCCAAAATCAGAAACAAAAACAAAACTCAGGGTTGGAGGGAGGAGATAAAAGTTCTATTCACTTTTCTAAATGAGTTTTAGCCATAAGAATGGGCTTTGCCACGCTGTTTTTGTCAGGTATCTGAAACCAATAATGTATGATTTCTGCTTATTGTTTGTACCACAGAAAAAGTAATAGTGCCAGCTGTTCTCATAAGGAAACAGCAACAAACGACACAACAAAAAAAACTAGAGGAGAACCCCAGAACCCTCTTTGGCGGGTTCTACCAGAAGCTCCCTCTACTGTCACTCTGCAGTGACAGCTTCCAACCGACTTGGAGAACACAGAGTCAATTAGAGTGTGAAGGCTGGATCTGGACAGTAAAGACGACCAAGACCGGAGTGGGTGGTATTCACACAGGGAGGCAGATGATATATGTGCATAGCACCAGATTTTTCAAGTAAGCAAGTTCAGCCCCAAACTAACTGAACTGAAGTTTTACATTTTTAACTCTTTCCATCATTTGTCAGAGTAGAAAGCTGTGAAATGTTTCAATTTGGCGCAACTCTAAATAATGGCATGAGCTCAAAAGGCAGTTTTTCTGCAGAAGAACCAATTCTAAGTCTCAGGGCTCTGAGACACTTCCAGTGTAAGTGTCACGGACTTAACTGACTTCACACATCCAATTTGGGACCATCACTTTTTCCTTCCTTAAAACTGGCTGGAGGCCTCCTTGATAAATGACAGTCTGTACAAGTGCACCCAGGATATTTATATATACTATGCACTTGTACATAGTGCACCCAGGATCTATAGTAAGTAACTCTAATGGCAAGGGATGTTTTTTCCTTATCAGAAATTACTCAAAGAAACTGATATTAGAAATGATGTGACAAACAGATTTTCAAAATCAATTTAATATTCATGGTGTTTAAACCTTCAATTTGTTTTCTGATTTCTGGATATTTCTCCTTTTAGATTCCACAAACTTCAGATTCTGAAGCTTGAGGAAAAAGCCAAGTTCCTCAATATGGGAAATTCTATCTGGCTGTACTTTTAGAGGGTTACAATTTCTCTACTTTCAAAAAAATACTTTGAATATTTATATATACTATTAACACACCCCAGTAAATCACTTCAGATAAATATTTTATAGTACAATTTCTATCAATAGTCAGCATTTTAGATAGTAAAATAAGGGTGAAATCTGGAATAGGGTCAACTGTCATATTTTCCAATATACTCTCAAAGGAGAGTATTAAAATTTAAAGTTCTATTTGGACTGTGAGCTATCTTCCCTGCGTACTGCAGGTGTCCATTAGCCCCAGAGGAGAATCTGCAGTCGTGGTACAGCGGGCCTCTCTGGCTGGCCCTCCACGAGGCTCGGCGAGCCCGGAGGCGGGGGCACATGCACCCTTGCCACCGCTCACTCAGCGCCGCCGGGCTGAGGGGTAGTAACATGCGGTCCTAGGGTGACGGCAACACTAGTACTGACACTTTTAAAATTCATTCTCCCAAGTAATAAAAAATATATATATAGATGTACATATAGAGATCTATAGAGATCTGCAGCTGTACTAATTACTTCAAATAGCAGCAGACAAGGAAAATAAACACTTGTGTCATAAGTTTAAATTCATTTTAAGTTTGCTATATTAAATTTAAAAATTAAAAAAATATCAACTTACTATAAACAATTTAAAATATGTATAATACAATTTCATGGTCAAAACATTTGAATAGTCTATGAAAACAGGAGATACCTTGACCTTACACTGCTGTTTTGGTTCCATAGATCGTTTTTATGTCTCTTCCAAGAGAAACCATAAAACAGTTGTCTTATTTCATGGCAACCAATTTTGTGTAGGATTTCCTCGTCACAAAAATACTTATCAGAGGGAAGTCAAAGGAAAAAAAGAAATGGGAAACAAAGTGGCTCCTTCCCTATTTGTCACTCTTCTCTTCCGAAAGCTTTCCGTACATACGCTGTTCGAACCTCCCAAACCATTTACAAATGCGTTCTCAAAAACTGAAGGAAAAAGTTTAGCATCTTAAAGTGTTATTTTGTACAGTGACTATACAATATATATTGAATGTACACACACACACACATCTTAAAGATAAGGTTCTCCAAAGGTTTTCCGACATTCCATCACCCCAGTGCTTGGTGGTCTGTCACAGTTGTGCGTACTCTTGACTTGACTAGGTGTGAGACGATCATATGCTATCTTGTATTCCTTGTCAAATGCATCTGCAAAAATTCATAAAGAAATACAAGCAGAAAGAAATTTAAGTCTGATGCTGACAATAATCAAGTATCTAAATACTATAGAACCACAAAATTAGGAGCCAAGGAGAAACCTGTAAGATGTACTTCTGCCACTCAAAGGACCACAAATTTCAAGGCTACAGGGGAAACCTTAGGCTCTACAGCATTTTAGGGCTAGACTCCACAAGCCACTTTTAACTGTACCAAGTATACATGTTTGAAACCACCAACTACCATGCATACTTTTTGTACATTGTTTTCATACTCAAATTTACCTGTATGTTCTTAACTTTTATGGTTTAGTTTTTCACATTTAAATTTTTGATTCAACTGGATAGTATTTATGTGTCCAACACTTCCTATTATGGGATAACCTTGGGAAAATATCCAAATATCTTTTGACATCATCAAATAATGATATTACCTCTTTCACATGGAAATAGATCAGGGTAATTAGCTGTGATAAATTATAATAATAAATTAGCTTTTATTATTCAGGATATCACAGCAAGGCCTGTATGCTTCCTTCCCAGAAGATAATTCACATGTGATAAAAAAGGAAGACCACAGGTGTGTAAGTTTTCATTAGAAGTTTCTGTGTAGAAATCATGCTAACTGACCACTTATTTTTAAACACATACTGGGAGAAAATTCTGACCCTTAGGGATTGAAGTGAGGTATGAATTTTGTCTGAATGTCACTAGGTTTTGGGCAGATGACAGACATCAGAGTGTCTTCCCCCTCTGAAACTGCCACAGTGGTGCCCTTGAAGGCTGATTTGACAACAAATGCATGAGTGAATAAGCTTCTCCAATTTAGAGGTCCAGACACATGAAACCCCTTTGGCTAATATCTGAGTGTGCTCTGGGAGTGTACTGGGTAGAGAACAATGATCAGAGTACTCAGAAATAGGATCTGCATACTCTTCCTTGGTATCTCTTCTGTTTCATTATATTTCAAAAGCCTAGCTCAAAGAATAACATTCCTGATTTTGGCAATTTCTAGCATCTTCCCCAAGTGGCTAGATGACTGTTCCAACACTATTCAACAGTCTACTTTTCCTAATTGACTTTATCATGCTTTATCCCTATAGATGTCTATTTCTAAACTCTCCTGTCCTATTGATTTTTCTAGCTCTGCTGTCGCTACCTCACTCTGCTGTAATTAGAGTAGTTTCTACAAGGGCAAATCCTGCTAATGAATCTTTAAGTAGTATTTCCTGACTAGTTCTTTTTTTTAGTCAGACATAATTCACATATCATTTTATTGATTGATTGATTGATTGGTCTTTTTGAGACAGGGTCTCACTATGCAGTTCAGGCTGGCCCTGAGCTCACTTTGGTGGGCTGGTCTCAAACTTGCAACGATCCTCCTGCTTCAGCCTCCTGAGTGCCGGGATTACAGGCATACGCCACCATGCCTGGCACAATTCATTAATTTTTAATGTAAAATTCAGTATATATTCATAGGATTGTACAACCATCACCACGATCTAATCATAGAACCATGATCTAATTATAGAACAATTCATCTCACCAAAAAGAACCCTGACAACAGAAATCACTCTCAGTTCATCCCTCTTCCTAGCTTTTAGCAATCACTTATCTCTTTTTTTTTTTTTTTTTTTGTCTTTTTGTAACAGGGTCTCACTATGCAGTTCAGGCTGGCCTTGAGCTCACTTTGTAGCCCAGGCTGGTCTTGAACTTGCAACAATCCTCCTGCCTCAGCCTCCCAAGTGCTGGGATTATAGGCATGCACCACCATGCCCGGCTGATCTCCCTTCTATCAGCATAGATTTGCCTGCTCTGGACATTTCATATAAATAAATTGTACAATCTATGGTCTCTATGACCAGTCTCTCTCACTGTGTGCACTCTCAAGGGTAACCCATGTAGCATGTATCAGCACTTCAGCCCTTTGTAACTCAGTAACACCCCACTGTATAAATACGCCACTTTTGTTGACCCATTCATCAGGTGATGTATATTTAATTTTTTCTACTTTTTGGCTAATATGAATGACATTGCTATGAACACTGATGTAGAAATTTCTGTAAGAACTTCTCTTAGTTACAGACAATTGCTGGGAATTGCTGGGTCACGGCATAGCTCTGCTTATTTACATTTTGAAGAGATACAAAATTGTTTCCACTGACTACATCATTTTACATTCATACCAGCATGTATATAATGGTCCCAATTTCTTGTTTCAATTCCTTAACTATTTTACTACATATTTTTGATTCCTGCCTATCCGTGTCAGATTATTTTTCCAGTTGAACACAGAAACATTTGTCAAGTTTCTTTCTTTTTCTCAAGACAAGAGCTTGCTGTGTAGTTCAGGCTGGCCTTGAACTCACTGTGGAGAACAGGCTGGCCTCAACTTGTGACAATCCTCCTGCCTCAGCCTCCCAAGCACTGTAATTACAGGTGTGCACCACCACACCTGGCAAGTTTCCTATTTTTAACAGTCTCCAGTTTCCATAAGCATTAAAGTACAAAGCAAATATTCACAACATTCTGCTCCAAGTTCCCTGGTTGCAATTTGAATCTCTTCATTCTTTTCCTCTTTCTGATGGAAAGAGCAACTCAAAAAATTCACAAAAATTATGTTAAACATGGCTATATTTAGCCTTCTTTATCAAATATTCTCTGATTCTAAATAATCTTTACATTTCTATTGGAACTTCTGCAAATTTTCCCAACTTCATTTCAACTGAGTAATCAGCAATTTAATGTTACTTCCAAGTACAGTGTTCCCTGCTTAGATTCTTAGATACTAAGACTACCTTTGTGTGTAGCTTAGATTTATATTTTGATCATTTAAGGCCATTTCATTTATTTACAGGGCTGGGGATACACCTCAGTGGCATAAGTTCCTGCCTGGCAAGTGCAAGGTCCTAAGTTTGATTCCTGGTACCAAAAAAAAAAAAAAATTTATTTATTTACATTTTATTTTATTTGGACATGTTTGCAGTTTGTGTAGTTTACAACTGTCTTGGGGAATGGTTACATGTACATATTATAGCATCTTTAAAAAAAAAATCCCCTTCCTCTCCCCATTCTTTTCTCCTCTAGTTCCCTTATCCCTTCCCCTCCTTTTCTTGAGACAGGGTCTTGCTGTGTACTCCAGGCTGGCCTCAAACTTGCAATAATCCTTCTGCCTCAGCCTCCCAAGTGCTGGGATCACAGGTGTGTGCCACCACACCTGGCTCCATTTTAAAATTTTGTTAATATCATTTGTCTTAGTTCTTGTTATGATATATAATGCTTGCATTAATTGGGGTTATTAGGTTCCTGTACACGGCACATCTTTCTTATTTCCCCTTCCTATACTGATTTCCATAGTGGTTACACTAGTTTGCAATCCCACCAGCAAAGAGGGAGGGTTTCTTCTTTACCACACTAAAGCCATTTTCGTATAAGCCAATTTTCCACTCCTATTTTACATCTGAGCAAATTTATTTTCTTCCTAACTAGTCTCTTTGTCCATAAAATATTTAAAATATCACACTCATCTAATAATTTCATTCTGTGAGATGTTCACCATTTTACTCACACACACATTTGCTGTCAAATTCTACACTCTCTCCCTTCGTATGAAGGCTGACCATTTCCAGCGGCACAAGTCACCTGTGAGCTCGATGGCACTGGTAATGCTGTAGGGTACCCAGCTAGGGATGGCTGCACTCAGCCTTCTGCTCCATTCACTCATGGCTGCTCACACTGCCCCTCAGTGAGCTGCTAGGAAGCAGCCCCAGGGAAGACCCTCTGCTTTCCACCCAAGCCCATGCTGTCTCACCGAGGAACTTATAAGAGTGCTTATGCTTGTAACTCACCATTATGACTACGCTGCTGCTAGTAAACACATGGGGCGCTTCAAATGTCAAATGAGGCACTGACACTGAAAAATTACGTTGGTTTCTGTTTAAAACCAGTGTACAATCACCTAGTAGAAGTGCTGCCCACCACATAGGCTGGTGAGTGGGCTCATGTAGGGCTCCCAAGTTAGATATCACTCAGCAGGTATCTTTTTCCTCAAACTATTCAAAATTATAAATTCTCGAACAGAAAGCCTACTTATGTATCTAATGTCTGACAGCCATTTCTTCTTTTTTCCATATCAGAAGTTATTTTGACTTTTTCTTAGAACTTGGAAATAGAAATTTAAAAGAGGTTAAGCCAACTTGGTGCAGTGGTGGACACCTACAGTCCTAGCTATTTGGGAGGCTGAGGCAGAAGGACCACTTCAACCCGGGAATTCAAGACCAGCCTGGGAAACATAACAAGCTTCAGTCTCAAAATAACAACAACAAAAGAGGCTAAGTACAATAACCAGCAGGAGGAGCTGACCAACCAAAAAACTCTGGGGACTCCATAATTTAGCTGCCTTATATTCTTTCTGAGCTAGCTCAATGCTATTAGTGATATAACCACTGTTTAAAGCGTGGGATTGAAAATTAAGACTCCTTGGTTAAAATATGGCTCTGTGTTGCTCAGCTGCTACTGCTGACCTCCGCACTGACCCCGCTCCAGCGGGGGATGCCCAGGCCGGAGTGAGCAGGGGAGGAAGAGTTGGGGCTGAGCCCCAGCTCTGCTGGGTCCGTCCTGCCCGAAGAAATGAGTGGAGGCTTGGCTCCACGTAAAAGCACAGTCTATGTGTCCAACTTGCCCTTCTCCTTGACGAATGACTTATACCGGGGTTGTTATAATGAAAGACAAAGATATGAGGATGAGTAAAGGAGTTACATTTACATTATTTTTGGA